AGCCAAAATGCTGTGAGCAGCCTGTTTCGTCAGCAAAAGGCCGTCCCTAGTCAAGGCACGCCTCGCTGTTTTGTTTTTAGTTAGCGCCCTGCACAGACATGCTGAGAGCGCATCGTAATGCGTAAACGACGACTGGGCGACGTTCGCCGCGACTACGCTATTTTTGGAGTTTTTGCCCTCTGGAGGCTAAACCGTTGACCTGAGGTCAAATCTGAGGGCATGTTGGCGAAAAAGCGTTAAAAGAGCTATCGAATGCGCTTTTCCGCGGCGCCGCGCTGTAGCTCTTTCGGTTCCCGAGTTAGCCGTTGGCAGTTTCCAAAATGTTGAAATAGCCAACATTTTACCTTTGGTGACCTCTGATGACCTGACCTTTGACTTGACCCAAAAAACGACCGAAGTGTTTTCGTCCTTATTTTGGGCGTTCTTTCGATTGCCGCTTACCGCGTGTCGCTACGTGGCCCAGAAGCCGAGCTGGAAGGGGGGTGTTTCTAACTTGGAGTCCGGCCCAGCGCGGCGCGGAAGACACCCCCACCCGGCCCGGCCCGGAAGTCTTGGAGCACCGGCCCGGCGCGGGTTAATAAGCCGCATAGATTTCCAAGTAGGGTAAGGTGCCTAATTAGCAACCCCCTTAATTTGAACGGCCATTGCTTTCGCTCTATGGGTGCCACTGTATTAGTGGCTTAATTTTCGGAGCGATCGTTCATTTTTCTATTAAAATCCATTCATTTTCTGCCCAAATATCCACTAATTTATTTGCAGTTAGCACTTAAGCAAACCATTGCAAAAACGCGCTCATAGAGAACTCGTCTCTGTTAGCGACCGGGGAGGTTCGCTAAGCTAACAAGTCTATGGGTTTTCCCATAATAAAAATGGCAAAAACGCGACGCCTGAAAAGATGAAATATGATCCCAAAAAGGTAGATAACCTGTACGCAAAACACTCAATCAATGGAACAACAGGAACGTTTATGCAACACGCTTATGTAAGTAAAAACTGATCACGTGATGCACCAAAGGTGAAAAGAAGGCAAAAACCTAAATTTTATTTTTTTAACGATTTTATCTAAAACGATTTTAAATCTTTTACTAGTAACTAGAACATTTAGCAGCACGCGTTGGTATATGCTGCTTTGCGCGCAACAAGTGCCGCACTTTCAGCTGCCAAACTGCTTCCAAATAAAGTCGCTAGAAACAGCGGAGATTCCAAAAAGTAAATAAAGTAAAAGTATAATATCTTAAAAACCGGCGAATATGTATTTTTCGGTGAAATTTGGCAGAGATTCGTTTTCACTCTTTCGGAATCGAGCAACATCGCTTTGGGCATGCCAATTCATTAGTTTTTTTTTGAAGGTGGAAGGGTCCCTTTAATTTGACGTCAAAAAGTAATTTTAACCCTCGCATGTGTGCGGCGTTTGCCAGCTTCTAATGTGTAGGGGGGGGGGGGGTCGGTTGGACCCCCCCTGCCGTTTGGCCCCTGATCGAGCTAGAGCTTCGCGGAAAAAACGAGCGTGTTGCCCGTGACGAGAGGAAGCCGATGATACCCAATTTTAAGGTCCTAGGTCATTGGTTGACCTTCCAGGTCAGGTCAATGACCCAAAGTCGGGAAAATCGGGACCTGTTAAAATTTAAAAAGTCGTTAAGTGTGGCTGCTAAGGGTTTTTTCTGGGTGCTGATCACGAATATCGTGTTAGTTTTTATCACAGATGATGTCTTTAAGTATTTAGACCAGGTCGGGTCAGGTCAGGTCAGGTCAACCAGTAGGCGTCGTGACGGGCATTCGTAGTACGTGTCAACCGCCTCTGACAGCTGCGTAACATGTTACGAAGTCACCAAAACTACTTCGTAAATGTTCAAATGGTTGCTAAATTCGAATTCAGCTCCAAAAACCAGCCTAGAAACATGTAAAACTCGAAAAAGTGAACGGAGGTCACCAAAGGTCAATGACCTGGCCTGACCTTCAGGTGACCTTGACACGCACCCTAATGCATGGGAGCAACATCAAGTCACATGTTTGAACGTTTGAAACCACGAAAAGCTTGCAAACACGATGCTTAATGCGAGCTGACATATGTACGCGGAATCGCGATTCCGGCCAAACATGGTCTCGGAAAAGAGGTCACAGGTCAAAGGTCATTTGAGTCAGGGTCATGAAAATTTCAGGGTAGGTTTAAAATTGATTAATGCGAGAGTACTGAAAGTTTCGTCGCGATCAGCCGTTTTTTACGCGAGTTATTCGCGAAAAACCATGGGGGTCCACCGGACCCCCCCCCTACACATGCGAGGGTTAAAACTTTGACATAAAGCCAAGGCCCAAAGTCTTGACTCTTGACCTGGCCGGATAAGGTCATGATGAACATCACGTGATTCTATCGCTGAGCTGAACACATCGTAGAATTATTTTCATCGCTTTAGCATATTCGTCTATAGTTACTGTAAAAAAAAAACTTGAAAAGCATTCTTGACCTGAGCTGATCTCAGAGGCATAAATGAGGTCACGGGTACATTTTTCGATTAATTGTGCCATGTTTACATGTTCCGCGATGTGTTAGTGTTATTATGCATTTCGTCCAAAAGAAGCGCAGTTCAAACTTCAAACCCTAGTAGGGGAAGCCGGGGGAAGCCCGGGCGCGGGGGAAGCCCGGCCACCCCGTTTCCGGCTAAATTATTCACAATAAAATGCTCAACTGCTTGTCCTTTCAGCGTGGCAGCTAAGGTAACGCCAGCAAAAAAGTTAAGACTGACAAAAATTGCATATTGTTAAAGTTATAGCGCAAAAATGATATTTTAAGGGGTTTTAGCTAAAAAGTGAGATATGTTGCACTGTTAATGTTATGCCATACAGTACTAATATTTATACGAATGTTATGTAAGGACCGTTCAAGTGTTTGTAGTGAGGGGTGACGAGGCAGGCTGGCTTAAGTATGACATTTTTTCGAATATCGCTGTTCTAAAATAAAAATTAGCACATTGGGGTAACCCCGGGCGAGTGGCCAAGCTTACCCCCAACCAAGAGCAATGCCACTAAACCACTGTTTTCCATGAGATAATAGGTACTGAGCAGGTTTGGTTTACACCTGGATCAAAGATAAATTTCGAAAATAAACATGTTATCATAGACAAAGCCAGTCATGTCACTTAAGGTCAACTAGGGTCAAACTACGTTTTTGCAGATAACGCGACAGACAATAAAGCTAGAGCTTCAAAAATGGTGTCGTTGTGTTCTTCTTCATCAGCCGAGTCGAATGATATGCAATATGATGCATTAAGGTAAAAAGGAAAATAAATTTTAAGGAATTTTGAAATACACATTTTTTGTCAATTTTGCATCACGATTTTCATCGACCTGTACTGTATATGTAGTAGACGCTAGCTAAAATACCAGTAATAACATAAACTCTAACATGTCCAGAGCTAATCAGTACCTTAATATTTCACTTTCCGTTAATATTTGGAAAACACATAATGGTTTCATCAACTCGTTGTAAAGCGCTGGGGAGGTGGCCGGCGTTACCCCTATGCCGGGCTTACCCCAGAAAAATCAACACTTTTTTAAAACTCGATTTTCTCAACCTTATACTTATTCCACGAAACCGAATTTTTGGGAAAACACGGCCAATGAACTAAGCTAGCTAGCAGGATATCAACATTTTATACAGCACGTATGGTATGTAATAAAAATGAAAACGAGCTTACTATGCCGGGCTTCCCCCGGCTTCCCCTACCTACGTCACCGATATTATAATCCCAAGAGAATGTTTTATATGCCTACTTAGGCTACTTTTGCTATCATTAATCGCTGAAAATTGCAAGCGAATAGCGATCATTCAGTCGACGTAACCCTGGCGAGCAATTCATCATTGTTCCCGTGGAAATATTTGACGTGACTTGGTGACCTGACCTCGAGCGATCGGGGTCTGAAACTTCTAACAACATGTGCAGAAAAAGCATGAAGATGTGTGACAAAAACAGTTCCTGTCAGGCGTGGGTTACGTCATTCAACACACTCAGATCCAGGCATAAGTAAATAAGCGATTTTTAGGCGTCGAACCCCTGTTTCAGGGGCGCCTGCATATTTTCTCAGTTAACTTTATTTTAATAACAGCCTTATGTCGTTTATTTTGACTATTTTTCTTTTAAATTTGATTTCCCTTTGAGTACAACATGCAAAAGGCAACATGCTTCGGAGACATGTAAATTACAATATCGTTGGATGAGTTAACGCCTTTGACGAGTGTGATGGCCTACGGAATGTATCCGTACAAGTTTGGGGACCATGGCGACGCCCCTGGTCGAAAAGACGACATGCTCGAATATTTGTCAACGGTGATCAACAAACCCCTATTCTGTCACATGTAATTATGCTATAATGTCTCCAGTCATAAGCAATCATAATGTCTCCAGAGCAAATCTTGTAGTAGGCGGGGATTTGGGAATTCCTGGTAGCTGATGAATTTTATTTTTTAAGGATGTTTGACTCGACTACGGTGGGCCCCTGACAAAAATTTCAAGGGGTGGGGGGGTGGGGGTAGCTGACCCTCTGACTTTCTCTGGCTGCGCCACTGGTAGGTATTCGCTAAAGAATTGTATTTAAAACGTTAGCTGTACCTAATTTGTGCATGCAGTATGCATGTGTGTGTTTGGGGGGTGTAGGTGGGGGAGGGGGGGGGGCTATCCGACATGTCGCTGAAGCCCTTGTTGTCTGTCTGCAGGTCTCGGCTCATCTTCTTCACCTAAGCGGCGTGGTTACTGGCCGTGGTTAGGGGTTCCGTACGCACCGTAGGGACACCGGCCGTAGGGGACACCGCTGTGGACACCGGCAGTGGACACCAGCATTCCAGCCGGTCTGCCTTGCGACTGACGTCACGCGACTGACGTCACGCCAGCGCAGCGCTCGGTGTGTATGTATGTATGTATGTGTGTGTGTAAGTGTATGTGTGTGTGACGTCACTGGCGCTCGGGACGGGCGTGTCGGCGGCGGCGCGGCTGCAGTGCGGCCTGGTGCGCCGACGGGCGAGGTGGTGGGGCGTCCGACCGCCGCCAGAGCTCGGTGCCGAGGTGGTGGTGGAGCCGGTGATGGAGCGGTAGCGCGACCGCCGCCATGCCGCCGGCGCTGCTGTTGCTGCTGCTGCTGATGGCGGCCGTGACGGCGCGGGCCGACAACACCACCCAGCGCTGCGTGCCGGGCCTCCTGCTGCCCGTCTGGGAGCCGCAGCACAGCCTCAGCACTGGAGATGTGCTGGCGCGCGCGCTCGTCTACTTTCTCTCACTCATCTACCTTTTTATTGGCGTGTCGATCGTGGCCGACCGCTTCATGGCCTCCATCGAGGTCATCACCTCCAAGGAGAAAGAGGTCACCGTCAAGAAGGCCAACGGCGAGACGCAGATTGTTGTTGTGCGAGTCTGGAACGAGACGGTGGCCAACCTGACGCTGATGGCTCTGGGCTCGTCGGCCCCCGAGATCCTCCTCTCCATTATTGAAATATACGCCAAGAACTTTGATGCGGGCGCGCTGGGGCCGGGTACTATTGTGGGCAGCGCCGCTTTCAACCTGTTTGTCATCATCGCCATTTGTGTGTATGTCATCCCCGACGGGGAGGTGCGCAAGATCAAACACCTGCGCGTGTTCTTCGTGACGGCTACGTGGTCCATCTTCGCCTACGTGTGGCTGTACCTGATCCTGGCGGTGATCACGCCCGGAGTGGTGGACGTGTGGGAGGCCCTGCTGACGCTGCTCTTCTTCCCGGCTACCGTGACCACCGCCTACATCGCCGACCGGCGCATGCTCTTCTACAAGTACATGAAGAAGGACTACCGTGTCAACAAGCGTGGCGTCATCGTGGAGAGCGAAGGTTTGGAGCTGAGCAGGCCTAGCCACGGGCCGGCGGGCGGCGAGCTCAAACAGCTCGACGAGGAGCACGTGGACGAGGCGGTGCGCGAGTTCGAGGAGAACCGACGCGAGTACATTCGGATCCTGCGCAAGCTGCGTCAGCTGCACCCCAGCCTCGAGATGGAGCAGCTCGAGCTGATGGCACGCGAGGAGGTTCTCAACAGGGGGCCCAAGTCGCGCGCCTTCTACCGAATCCAGGCCACGCGGAAACTCACCGGAGGCGGGAATCTGATGCGGCGCGCGCTGCAGGCGGAACGGCGTGCCAGCACTGTCGACCTCGATGACGTCAAGATGGACGACAGCCAGCACGCCATCCACGTGTTCTTCGACCCGGGCCACTACACTGTGATGGAGAGCGTCGGGGAGCTGGCGCTGACAGTGCGTCGCGAGGGCGGCGACCCGAACCAGTGCGTGCTGGTCGACTACCGCACAGAGGACGGCTCGGCCAGCGCGGGCAGTGACTACGTGGCCGTCGCCGGCACCCTCTTCTTCGGGCCCGGAGAGAGTGTTAAGACGATCGGTGTATCGGTCATAGACGACGATCTGTTCGAGGAGGACGAGCACTTTTACGTAAAGCTGAGCGGCCTGCGTCTGGCCAGTCGAGACGGCGCGCCGGTGGGCCAGACGAACGGCAGCGCCGTGCGCCGGCACTCGGTGCCCGAGCTGAGGCTGGTGGCGCCGTTCGTGGCCACGGTGATGATTCTGGACGATGACCACGGCGGCGTGTTCTCCGTGGCCGAGAAGGACGTGGAGATCGTAGAGTCCGTGGGCACCTACTCACTGCGCGTCTGCCGGTGGTCGGGCGCGCGCGGCCGCGTGGCTGTGCCCTATGTCACCCTCGAGGGCACCGCCAAGCCCGGAAAGGACTACGAACACTGCCAGGGGGAGGTGGTCTTCGAGAACAACGAAACCGAGTGAGTACCGGCAGCACGCTCCGGCTCGTTTTCCGTTCCCAAGTGTTTCCTAAGTGACTTGCGTTCTATGTATTTTTTAGGGGAAAACTCTTCGAGACGCCCTATTAGGTGGCCTGACCACTCAAGCCCTATGAACCTAACTGTAAAATAATTGTTAGTCGTTTCATTAAAAGTTTTAGGGTAGCAGAAATATTTCAAACAGGATGCTAGCAAAAGATTGATTATGTTATTCCAAATTAAATAAATGTTTTTCCTAAACAAAGTATCTGTCCTAATAACAATACAAAATGGCTACAAATTTGTAAACTGGTTGTGAGCTTCTAGGGTCAACAAAGGGCTCTCCCCTAGCTTTGATGCGCCACACTTATGCAGAGGCGCGGGAACTACTTTCAGGCGGGGGGGGGGGGGCACACCTGACATTTGCCGGTGTCATCCATGATGGAGATTGACCTAGGATACACAGGATTCTAGTTTTCTCACCGGTTTTAGGCCACTTATTTTTCACCCTTTAGCCTTCTCAACGATGAGAGAAAAAAACGAAAAATGCAAAAAATACGTATTCCGTCTTAGTTGAGTGAAAGATTTGCCTATTTTGTAACGAAGAACAAAGGTTTAATAATAGAAATAACACTTCCGACATCGTCCTGACCTTGTCTGAACCAACTTATGCTGAATCTTACTAACACTTCTCCGTCTAGGCTGACGGTCACTCGATACAGACAAACTCAGAGTACCTACCTATGTATATGTATTTCTATCGGACACATTTCTCTCCATTTCCACATGTATCCGTCCCTGACGGGCACTTAGGGGCCCAAGGGGTTCGCTGAGAGGCCCACCCTGGGTCAGCTCAATACATTCCATCCCGGCCTCCGAAGGCCCCAAGCCGACCTCGGGGGGGGGGGGGGGGCTCTTAGCGAACCTCTCAGCCCCCTTACCTCAACCCAACCCACGCACACATGCCTGCCCCCGCTCCCTATGGGACGCGGCACTGCCGTCTCCGCGAGCTCCAAGTGCAAGGCCCGAGTGGCCACGCCGGGCTCGGTCGCCGGCTACCCAGTCAGGGGTGTAGGCGGGGGGGGGGGGGGCACTGAGCCATGGCCGCCTTGGAAGGATGTGTTTATATGGAAAACTGCGCTCTAGCCGCTTTAGGCTGTAGCGCTCTGATCGTAGCGGTAGTCGCCAATCTATGTAAGCCTGTTGATCGCTGCCCTCCTACCCACTGGTGCCCTCATTTTGATCGGCATACTCCTATCTATCGGCGCCCTCCTATAAATCGGCGCCCTCTTACCCAAAGGCGCCCTCCTGTAGGTCGCCGCCCCGCTACCCATTGATGCTCTTCTGCTTGTCAGCGCCCCCTACTTATTGGCGCCCTCCGACCTATCGCGCCCTTCTGTGGAATTCTAATGGCCGCCCTCCTCCCTTCTGATACCCTCTTGCTGATCGCCACCCTCCTACCCATTGGCGCCCCCCTACCTAATGGCTCCCTCCTGTTAATTGTTGATCGAGACCCTCATACCTATTGGCGCCCTCGTGCTCCCTCCTACCCACTGGGACCAGTGGCACCCTCCTGTTGATCGCCGCCCTCCTACCCACTGGCGCCTTCCTGTGGATCACCTCCCTTCTCGCAGGCGCTGTTCGATATCACCCTCTTGGGCAAAGGTGTCCTGCTCACAATTGCTGCCCTCCTATTGACCGTCACCCTTAAAGGTAGTGTGCCAGCTTTCCTGGCCCAGATAAGGAGAACCGGATTTTTAGAACTTATCCATACCTTCAAAACTCATGGAAACGTCTTAAATTCTTCAAATTTTGAGTACCCCAGTGCGAAATTCGCCCCGACGGGTTGTCGGTCGTACCCCAACCACATTTCACACCACTATGAACAATAAATGCACACACTGAAATCGCTATTACCGATAGGCTCATCCAATCAAGTTTCGATAAACCCGTTCATCATCATCTCCTGCGGTTTCGAACACGCCTGTTAGGTGGTGCGGTAGACCGCGCCCAAAGCCAGGGCCCCGGTAACGTGAGGTAGCCGAGTCGGGGCAGCGTGCGCTGACCCAAGCCGGGGCCGCGCGTCCTCCCGGTGTCATGTGATAGCCCGGGGCTGCCCACGGGGATGCGGTAGACCGCGCCCAAAGCCGCGGCCCCGGCTTGGGTCAGCGCACGCTGCCCCGACTCGGCTACCTCACGTTACCGGGGCCCTGGCTTTGGGCGCGGCTTCTGCTCATACTTTGTGGTGCGGTGGTGGTGCGTCGGGCCGCGCGCTCTGACTTCGGCCAAGAAAAAATGCGTCAGCTGATCATTGTCATTTCTGCCAACTTTCATATGGTGAGATGGGGTCATAACTTTAGAGACGGCTGTTTCATATCAATTATTTTACATAGAATAATATTTCAAACCATAAATTAATGTTTGACAGCCAAATTAAAGAAACATTACCAATACAAATACAGGCTTACAGTTTAAATTCGACATTGTGTTGTCTACGATTAACTCATGCTGATACTCAACAGCTGATAACTCATTCCCGTACGTCGTAACTCTATAATGACCTTTGCTTATTGTCACATGTGCGCCGCATTCGTGATTGTTGCCAATGCCGACTCCTGTTTGCAGGTCAGCCCACTACAGTTGTTATACATATCGAAAAACCGATAAACTTTTAGGCGAAAATAGCACTATTTTAGGCCCATTTTTGATTTTTTTGCCATATTAGGTAAAAACAGAAGCTTCTTATCCTAGGAAAAATAAAATGGGAAATCATTCGAAGGTGGCACACTACCTTTAAACCCATTGGTGACTTCCTGCTGATGACCGCCCCGCTACAGGGTGATCAATAAAGAATGACATAAAGTTAGCCCCCACAGGAGGCAGATAATATAAATTTTAACACATTAACAGCACACCCTTAGAATGATATTCGTTTGCCTACAGGAGGTGCTCGATGTCCCCTCCCTTCTCCGCGCAGCAAAACTCGGCCATTTCGCTCCGTGCGCCTTCTTGCATAGAATCAGCTTCTGGGGATTCGTCAGCGATCAGAGACTGTAGGTATCATTCCTGTGGGAAGCTTGCTGTAGCTCAAAACACTTCTCGTCACTCCAGATCGCCTCTTCGAGCCATTCTTTGGCTAAACTGAGCCAGGAGGTGCATGCTTCCAACCTCAACACCAGGCTATCAGCGGAGAAGACGGCCATAAGGACTGGACGGTATGGTTTTTAGTCAGGGGCGCAGCCAGAACTCTGGCAATGGGGGTGAGAGACGTTCATGGTCGGCCCCCAGCAAAATGGGCTCCTTCAAACAAAGTGGACCCCTTGCCAACAACGAAAATCATGTTGCACTCAAACACCTATGCACTTAACCCGCGCATGACTGGGGGGGGGGGCTCTATAGAGCCCCCCTCATGTTTTTCAGCAATATCTTCTAAACCGTTTGACGGATCAACACGAAACTTGCGGTACCCTCAGAGGCATCAATTTGACACCTTGTGTTAAAATTTCAACTTTCTAGCTACCATAGTTTAGCCGAAAATGACGTCAGAGTGACGTCATGTCGGCCGATTTTCATGCAAAATACTGAAATACGGTAAACGCTCTCAAGAGCTCAGTTATAAAGCTAGATCTATTTTCTTTGCATGAGTGGACTACAAATACACGTAGCTATCGAACTGCTATCTCGAATTTTCGAAATTTTGAAAATTTTGAAAAATATTTATTTACAATTACAAAAATATATTTTTTGATTTTTTCAAAAAGTTTTTGACTTTTCGCAAAAACTGGAGTATAGAACACACACTGATCAACTACATTTGCAAGTTTTAGCCCAATATCTTCAAAAATAGCCAAGTTATTCGCATTATTGTCAAAATTTTACAATCTTATGTTTTTTTCAAATCCATTTTTCAGTACGTTTTTGACGTCGTACAGCAATATAAATGGCACCATCGTGTTCCTGAGCTCAAACTGCATCTCATATGCACCTTTTTTGTTGAAAAATTTCATTTTCAAAATTTGACCTTTTCTGACCTGAAAGTGACCTGACCTCCGGTAAATTCAGCTGACAATGACCTCAAATGACACAGACGACACTATTTTCGCAATCTACGAATAAAATGGACCATAAAACATGCGTCACGTGACCGATACATGATATACAATTTTCCTGACCTAGGATGACCTGGCCTTGACCTTAAAAATTCGAAGTACAGGGTGTCCGGAAATTGATTGCACACTCTTTTAGTACATTTGACAAGGAAACAAAACGAGCATGTTTCATGGTTTATTTGCCGATATACCCTCCACCCAGTCGCACACACTCCCTCATGCGGTCGGGCATGCCGCACATGAGGTTATCCAGTGTCTCCGCACTGATGCTGAGCCACGCTCGCTGGAGGTTCCTGATTAGCGCCTTCTCGGTGGTAGCCGGCTCCATCATGTCGAGCTCGCTCTGCACGATAGCCCACACGTTCTCGATGGGCGACAGGTCAGGGCTGTTGCCCGGCCATACACCCTTCTCCCAAAACCCTGGGAGGTTGTCCCGGCACCACTGTTGAGTGCTGGTGGCGTGATGAGCCGGAGCGCCGTCCTGCTGGAAGATCGCCTCGGACATCTTCGGGAGCAGCTCGACCTGTGTTGGCGGCCCCGTCTTCCTCTTCCGCTTCATCGCCGACGCTGCCGACTTCTTCAGGACCTCCTCCACGTAGTACTGGGCCGTCACGGTCTGGCCACGGGGGACGAAGTGGAGCTCCGACAGGCCCTGATGACTCATCATGGCCCAGACCATGACTTTCAGCGGCTGCTTCACCGTGTCGATGGCAGGCACTTCAGCGCTGCTGTGCGCCCAGACGCGCTCGTTCTGGCGATTCGGCGGGTGCATGAGCTCGAACACCGACTCATCGCTGAACAAGACGCGCCGCCAGTCCTGGATGGTCCAGTTCTTCCGCTCCCGGGCAAATGCCAGCCTTTTCCGCTTCTGGGCTTCGGTCAGTTTTGGCTGGC